CACACACACACACACACACACACACAAGCTTGTGTTGTAAAGACAGCATTGCACACACAGAAAAGAGTCAAGCGGAGAAGAGCACCATTGTTTAAGGGAGAATGTTATCAGTGTGTGTATAACTGCACGTATAAGTCTACAGTATATATGTGTGTGTGCTCGTGTGTGTGATAGCATCAACAAGAGGAAATACAAGAACAAGGTCTGTTTGTGTCAATAAAGGGGGACATTTGCATTTGAGTTAGTGATTAGTGACCAGTGAGTGATTAGACGAATACTTCCTCTACCATCACGCTTGTATATATGATACTGTCAGTAAATTACAGACCTCTCATACCTGCTTTCTTCTCCCACATGCTTGTTTACACATTAGTCGCATTGGTGAGGCATCACAACATTTGCAAAGGTGTTAGTAAGGAATAATGATAATACCTGGTTTACCATGTATTTGAGCAGCGCTTCTAAAAAGTAAGCGGTGAGGTCTTCCTGGTTTTTGTCACCTGACTGGGGAGGAACCAATGGAGTGATCTCTTCTGGGGTAACCTGAGCTATAGGGGGGGAGAAGCATTCAGTGTTTGTATTACAATAAATACTGCTACATATGTCGTCATATGTCTACTCTATGCATACATAGTAGAATAAAGTGTATGAGGTTCTAAATCTTATTCAGGAGCAGCTGTTTTTTGTATACAATGATAGCTGAATGTTGAGCCCATGTATTAGTCTAACCCCACTGTGTCTGTGTGTGTGTGTGTGTGTGTGTGTGTGTGTGTGTGTTTTTCTTCTACTAACTCTCTGTTAAACTCAGCGGAGGGTTGATCAGAGTGTCCAGGGTGCGTGGGGTCCCGTGGGAGAGCGGAGCCGGGAAGCCAGGAATCAAACAGGCGAACATGCAGAGCTGCTCGCACTGCGCATTGCTCTGCAGCGCCTGCATCCACAGCAGGAACAGGCGCACGCCTTCCCGACGGATCTACGGTGAGGGATGGAGAAGAGGTGTGAAGAGAATCCAAATTAGTACATGTTGCTTGCAGCATTTTTTAAAAATTAAATTAAATGATACACGTATTGTACACGTCCTCTTAGGAGGCGGGGAGGATTAGGATATAAAGGCGCTGAGAGAGACAACAAATCAGAGCGGTACCTTCAGAGAATTCCCAGTGTGCAGCAGCTTTTTGAGAATCAGCCCTGAGAGAGAAACACATGTCAGCCAAGTCTAACCAACAGTGTGCAATGAATATAACGTCAGGCCAGGGAGCTCAAGTAACATTCAAATTGGTAAAAAACAAAAAACTGCCAAACTGCAGTAAAACATGCTCGTGAAGCTAAACAGTTTGATAGCCCCAACACTGATATGTGAATAATATTCAGGATGAGAGGACGGCGGCTGCACTGCACCATGCCGGCAATTCTTCTGTTTGTGAAGTTTTGCTGCTGGTTGGTCTTTTGATATTTCATTTAATAATCTATCATTGTGGCCGCACTGTCCAAAACTAGTTCAACTTGATTCAACACATAGTTTGCTGGGACGTCTGATCCGCTGGATAAGGTCAACTGTAACATGCTCCAGGAAAGGGGCTGAGTTTGTGTTTTCCTTGAGTTACCGATGCTGTGGAACTGCCATCGGTTCTGGATTCTCTCTGGCAGGAGCTGGAGGATTTTCTGGAGAAAAGAAATGTATAAATGAATTAATATTCAGATACTGAGGACCATTTTTGCCATAAGACTTGTTATGATTGTTTATTCAGCGGTTTTCCTGCTTGAAGGAATTTTAGCCAGCGCCAAAGAAAAAGCTACCAGCTCCAAAATGATAAGAATTAAGAAAAGAAAATAGAAATTCAAATCCTCCCTGAATGTGTTTAACAGCAGCTTACCAAAACAAGTGCTAAACAAGCAGAACATTAACTTAAATATAACATCTTTGACTTTATCAAACGGTCAGAAATAACAGGAAAATCCATTGCTTTCTGTCGAAATAAAAGGTAACAGACTCGTTGCCTTAACTGTGCGCACACCGGGAAGGCCAGTTCTGACCCTGTTTATATATTAGCCACTGTTCCATCTATCTTGATAACAATTAATGCTGAAGGTTCCACTGGTTGGATGGTTGGTTCCCCGGATTCAGATAATCTATGGATGACAAAACTGCTATTTGAATACATTGAAGTGAGGATGAGATTCATAAGTAATCAATGATTCTATGAACTCAGCTTATTGTCCATCTTTATTTGAACTAATACCTCTCAGGGGAAGCCTATTTTAAGCACATTCTTTAGTCCAAGCACTCACTGGACTCGTGCTTTGCCCAGCCCTGGTTCTGAATTTAAAGTGCGTGGGGCCAAATGGAGGTCAGTAAACACACGCATACTGACCGCTATCTTATCCTGGCTGCTCCAAGCACCGAGCAGCTCAGTGGTCTTAAGTCTGAGGTCAATGCCGGCTGGTGCTGTGGTACCGACCAGGACCACCTACAGGAAGCTAGCGCTCGTGGAATCACAAACACGTCGGTGTCTTCCTTTCAGTGTTGTGTTGCATCGAGCGTTTAGCGAGAGTTCCTCTGGATTCAATGATATTATCTTACCTCGAAGATGAAGAGAATAGAGTCCAGCTCCTCCCTCTGAGACTTGTGACCTGAAACACACAGACGAGTTTGAACAATAGCACAGTGACACGGCTAAATGGCATTGCTTTATTTCAGAGCTCATCTAAAGTGTTTGGTTGACGGTGGAGTAAAACGTACCTTTTTGCTTGAGGCTGACCTCAATGGTGACAAAGTTCTCAAAGAAGACATAGTAGATATGGGAGTAGTTCACGTCGAAGAACTGTTTCAGCTCCGACGGCTCCGCGTTTTCTGGGAAATGGGGACACACACACACACACACACACACACAATTAGTGTTTAACACTCGATTCGGTTCCATGACCGTTCCTTGTGTGCATTCCTCACGTCACACGTTCACAAAACTGAGGGACGTCTCCCTCAGCATCTTCCCATTACACCCACAAAACATCTAATGTGTTTCTCACATGTCTCTCTGTTCACTCTCACAGCTGTATGCAGTCAGGGAACAGAATTAATAAAATATAGCAATAAAAACACCACAGAAAAGGTAGAAATCTTCACAATAACTATCTAATAATGTGGTTTTGAAATAAACAGTTAAACCAGTTAAAGGCTGTTCTCTATCCGTCTTTAGTCTAAATGTTTTCGGGCTAGAAGTATAAATACATCTATAAGAGTGTTCTCACAGGAAATATATACAGTTGTGTGAAAAAGTGTTTGCCCCCTTCCTGATTTCTTATTTTTTTGCATGTTTGTCACACTTAAATGTTTCAGATCATCAAACAAATTGATTGCAACAACTGCAATCAAGCGTTTGCGATAACTGGCAATGAGTCTTTTACAGCGCTGTAGAGGAATTTTGGCCCACTCATCTTTGCAGAATTCGAGCATGAACCGCCTTTTTAAGGTCATGCCACAGCATCTCAATCGGATTCAGGTCGGGACTTTGACTAGGCCACTCCAAAGTCTTCATTTTGTTTTACTTAAGCCATTCAGAGGTGGACTTGCTGGTGTGTTTTGGATCATTGTCCTGCTGCAGAACCCAAGTGCGCTTCAGCTTGAGGTCACGAACAGATGGCCGGACATTCTCCTTCAGGATTTTTTGGTAGACAGCAGAATTCATGGTTCCATTTATCACAGCAAGTCTTCCAGGTCCTGAAGCAGCAAAACAGCCCCAGACCATCACACTACCACCACCATATTTTACTGTTGGTATGATGTTCCTTTTCTGAAATGCCGTGCTACTTTTACGCCAGATGTAATGGGACATACACCTTCCAAAAAGTTCAACTTTTGTCTCGTCAGTCCACAGAGTATTTTCCCAAAAGTCTTGGGGATCATCAAGATGTTTTCTGGCAAAACTGAGACAAGCCTTTATGTTCTTTTTGCTCAGCAGTGGTTTTCGTCTTGGAACTCTGCCATGCAGGCCATTTTTGCCCAGTCTCTTTGTTATGGTGGAGTCATGAACACTGACCTTAATTGAGGCAAGTGAGGCCTGCAGTTCTTTGGATGTTGTTCTGGGGTCTTTTGTGACCTCTTGGATGAGTCGTCGCTGCGCTCTTGGGGTAATTTTGGTCGGCCGGCCACTCCTGGGAAGGTTCACCACTGTTCCATGTTTTCGCCATTTGTGGATAATGGCTCTCACTGTGGTTCGCTGGAGTCCCAAAGCTTTAGAAACGGCTTTGTAACCTTTTCCAGACTGATAGATCTCAATTACTTTGTTTCTCATTTGTTCCTGAATATCTTTGGATCGCAGCATGATGTCTAGCTTTTGAGGATCTTTTGGTCAACCTCACTTTGTCAGGCAGGTCCTATTTAAGTGATTTCTTGATTGAGAACAGGTGTGGCAGTAATCAGGCCTGGGTGTGGCTAGAGAAATTATACTCAGCTTTCCAAAGATGTGATAAACCACAGTTAATTTATGTTTTAACAGGGGGGGCAATCACTTTTTCACACAGGGCCATGTAGGTTTGGATTTTTTTTTCCCCCTTAATAATAAAAACCTTCATTTAAAAACTGCATTTTGTGTTTACTTGTGTTATCTTTGTCTAATATTTAAATTTGTTTGATGATCTGAAACATTTAAGTGTGACAAACATGCAAAAAAATAAGAAATCAGGAAGGGGGCAAACACTTCTTCACACAACTGTATTTGAGCAATGTGACCCCGCGGCAGCATCTAGCTTCTCTAAACACACTTGTGTCATGTCGACCTGCACCAAAACAGACTCCAAGCCCAGTCCGGGTCCCAGCTAAAAGATGGAAAGGGTCTATGCTTTATGTGTTCTCTGGACTACATCTGTGCCTCAACAACTACCGCTGGCTGTCATGAGGAAGGAGACACAGAGAGAAAACACACGCTCATACTGAGGATGCAACCGCCGCTGTAATTCAGGGTCAAAAGTGAAAGGAAACACACGCAGCATGCAGGACATTAGGCTTTCAAATGACGTGCATGTGCACAGGTAGACGCACTCAGAGGAGCCTCTGGTGATGGTAATCTCTGGGTTTGTTTATATGAAGTCTGAAAGATGAACTGCGCACACACACACCCACACGGAGGCCGTCTGTGCTATATGCCATGCATAGTGGTTGCCCTTCTAAGGTCTTAGTGGCCTCTCTGAGTGGGTCTCTATCTCTTCATCGGGGCACTGATATTTTGAACACAACATTTCTCACTAGCTGATTGCACACGCGCCCTCGATGGCTGATGTACAGGAGCTATTTATCTACACAACTCATAGCAAAGTATTTATCCACTCTTCATATGCATTGACAGCTACTACACCGGGTAGTAGCGTTGAA